TGTGTGTGTGTGTGTGTGTGTGTGTGTGTGTGTGTGTGTGTGTGTGTGTGTGTGTGTGTGTGTGTGTGTGTGTGAAGCGTTTGTATCTGTCCAGATTCAGTTCAGTTATAATTCATTTCCTATGATTCACAGCAGATATAAGTGTCTTCTTTGTGTGTATATTTAAGTGTATGTTTTGCCCAACACAAAATATGTATTTTCGGTAATGTTTTGTTGTTTGTTTGTTTGTTTTGTTTTGTTGTGTTTTAAGAAAATGTATAGCAACCCCCCCTCTTTTCCTCCCCAGCCTTCCACTCAATGGCTGCTTTGTTTAAGGATCCGGTCCCAGTCTGGCTGTGGGAGTGATGCTCCTGTTGCTGGTGCTGGTGCTTTGCATTAATCAATTGGTGTCTGAAAGAACAATTCAGTCTCAGTCTCTGGTCTACAACGTCCATGAGGTAGTTTAAGGATATTGTTCAAAAATGAGATTTATTAATAGATGTAAATTCATTGTACACGTTGATTTTTTTTTGTTTTTTATTGTTAGATCTCAGCACTTGATGCCATTATTATGATTGTGTTTATGATGAAGATTGTTATTGTTATTGTATTAGCATATTTGTAAGCATATTTTAAATATTTTTGAAACCTGCTACAGAGCAGGTTAAGATCCAGATTAAAGATCAGCAGGTATGAAATTATCACCTACTGACCAAATAAATCTTCAGAAAATAGCATCAACATTCCTGGAAGGACCTCCAAACACAGAATACACAGCAAGGATACCTGTTCGACCAATAAAAATGATTTACTTTTGATCTGCAACAAGTTGAAGCATCTCCTTTATTAGGCTGTGTGATAGTAAGCTCTAATGTTTAAATGGATTCAGTGTGAACTGCAGCCATCACCTTACAAATAATAATCTGCAGTGAGAACGCACTTGGTGATAAAACTATTAATTGGAATTAAAATATTTATTGTGTGCACTAAATCGCCAGAATAACTAAAACATTTTCTGCAACATTTATCAGCATCATTTTAACAACAATATTGTATTTTACTGGTACATTTTTGTGATCTGTAGAGATTTATATCACCATTTGATAATATTTCTGCAGCAGGCGCCACTCATTGGGATCATTTTTTGTGGAAAACAAGTCATATGATCTGTGAAACACGCCTCTGTGACTGGTTAGATGATGTCAACCAATTACTTGGGTAAGTTAGAGTAAGTGAAACCAGATAACACAAAGATACCCTAGGTATGTTGAACTCTCTTCGTCTGAACAAGTGTCAACTTCTGTGTTTGTACGCTCCAGGTATTATTCCTGTTTTGGAGATGTTAATATTAATTAAACTGAGGTCAGTTCAGCTCAGTTCTTTTAATGTAGCACCAGCTTACAGCAACATCCATTCAAAGGCTTTATAGGGTAAACAGTGTGATAGCCTGTTGTCAAACTGTAGATAAGAAGAAGGACCAGAAGATATTTTCATGGAACCAACAGATGCTCTGCCATGACTGATTTGAGTAGAAAGAAAACAAACCGGAAAAAAAAAAGAAAGAATGAAAGAAAAAGTGAGACTAAGGACCAAACAGAAGACAAAAGTTCTGCCATTATAGCAAATAATCAACTGGAGTAGAAGTGCTTAGTGGACTGTGGGAGGTCCCAGCCTGTGTCTACAGCAGAATCTGATATTCTTTATGATAACCAACCCAGTCGCCATAATGTAAAAAAAAAATCGAACCTCTGAACTGAAGATAGAAACATTGTTTTACAGGAATTTGAAGTTCTGGATGAATGAATGTGTGTATGCAAGATAAGATGTCCCACAAATTTCTCTGTGCAAATTACTAGCAGGTCAAATTGGAACTACAGGTGTATGCATGTGTCTGTGTGTGAGCAAGTGAGGGAGTGAGAGAGGCAGAGAGAGATTAAAGTTGCTAGTATCAGCTTTCTTTGTTGCCAGAGCACTTAGTGTTGGGTTTCTCTGTCAGAGAAGAGAAACATAGGATAGGAAATAGTGAGCAGAATCGAGTACATATAAGTATCTGGTCTCGGGTTGATAGGACGATTAGATGTGATGACTCTCTCATGTTAAGGTAAGGCTGCACGTCCTCCGCTGCTTTTTCAATTAACAAGGCTTTTCTTATGTAGGAAACATATTTCAAAGCCGAAAGTATTAAATAAATGAATTCATTATATTTTTCCTATTCTGTGCTTAAACTCACTAATGTGATTGTTTTTATATGCAGGCTTTGACTGCATTTCTTTTGCCTACAACTATACTTGGATTAAATATGCTGTACAAAATATAGTTATTAGTATTATTATTATTATTAGTATTATTAGTTAGTAAAATACTATATTTATATATACTAAAAATACGACACTATGAACATAACTAAAACACTAACTTCTCACTAGCAACCTCAAGTGGTCAAAATAATCATTACCCATCAAAATATATTAGCACATGACACCAGAATACTGCACACATATATTACTTTAGAGGCTCAAAGATGACTGTATTTCTCAGGGTTGTCATTAGGCATGTTCACAGATTTAAAGGCTGACTGATGATATAGAAATGCATTATTCAGCAGAGATTATTGTGTCTCCTGTGTTTTCTTCAGGAAACTCTCAAACTTGAACTGTGATAGTGGATTCATTGTTGACCTTCACTGGGATCCGTTGCAGACATTAACTTGGACAGTGATGGCAGGATCCGGTGTCGCTGTGAGGCTGCATGAGTTCAGAGAGTCTCACAACTCCAAAGAGCTTGTCTCACCAGCTATGTTAAAACCAAAGTGAGTGGTCACTCTCTCAAACTAAATCTGGATAAAGTTCTCAAAAAAAACACTCTGACCTTTTGCTTAAGTAAAAGTATTAATAATAATGGATTTATATAGCGCTTTTCAAGGCACCCAAAGCGCTTTACAATACCACTATTCATTCACTCTCACATTCACACACTGGTGGAGGCAGCTACAGTTGTAGCCACAGCTGCCCTGGGGCAGACTGACAGAAGCGAGGCTGCCATATCGCACCATCGGCCCCTCTGGCCAAGACCAGTAGGCAAGTGGGGTAAAGTGTCTTGCCCAAGGACACAACGACCAGGACAGAGAGCCCAGGGATCGAACCGGCGACCTTCCGGTTACAGATGCGATTCCCAACCCCCTGAGCCACGGTCGCCCACCATAATGTGTAAATACTTTGTTACAAATAGCCCTCAAATTTACTTATGGTATAAGTAATAAATGTAAATTATACTGCTACAAAATAAAAGAAAGAAATGAAAAAACTTGTTAAAAAAAAGTCATGCTTATATCTATACTGAACTGCGCATTGTGTTAGGAACGACAGGATGGCATCGTTTGATGGAAATTAAAATGATCAGCCTACAAAGGGCTGAGTTCACACACAACCCCTTAATTTAAAATGAAATTCTGATGTGGCAGGCTGGATCATTTTGCAGAAATTTCATTGCAACAACATAAATAACACTCAGTAGTTTGTCTGACCCTGACATGCTTGTATGACAAGCTAATAAGATGGCAGATGGCGTCCTGGTGATTTCTTCCCACCACCAAACCGGTCATGCTGAACCATGTGACAGGGAGCACAACGTTTTCCACAGTTTCTCCAGACCCTGTTACATCTGTCTTAAAGTGCGTAGGGTGAGCATGCGCTTATTTGTGAAAAGCACAGGATGCCAGTGGTGGATCTGCCGAATTTGTCTTCATTGTCAAATGCCAATTGGTCTCCACACTGCCGTGGATTGAGCACAAGGCCCCCAAAAGAATGTCAGGCAATTCTTTTTGAACAGTGTAAAAGTGTATATATGTAAGTTTCAAAATTGAAAGGAGAAAGACTTCAAAAAACCTTTC